CCGCCCCGCAGCCAGCTGCTGTGGACACACAGCCAGAGCTGAGCTGCCGCGGCCCTTTGGCATCAGTGAGGCCACGTCACGCCAGCGTCCTGGTGTCTGCTGGTGCTCCGCCTCCTTGCACTGCAGCTGCATGCAGCCAGCCCTGTGCTGAGAATCACTAAGAGAGAATCACTAAGATTGGATGGGGCTGGCGGATTGGATGGGGCCGCGCCGCCCGTAGGGTGGGCTTAGGCCAGCCCATTACAATGGCCCACTGGGCCAGTCTGCCCCTGCATTCACCAGCTGGCAAAATCTACTCGTTGCGGGCTAGTGTATTTGTCGAGCCCTGTGTATTACTCTCTAACACATACATTTGGGGTGGACTAAATTTTTTTCTCTGGATGGATATCCACAACCATTCCATATTTTGTTTAAGAGCAACACCTTCTCTAATGCAGTAATACTGCACTGCAGTGTTTTCAGGGATGTAACCAAAACAAAAGGGAAATCCAGAAAGTGTCAAAGATATAATGGCTGGCTGGTGATGTGTACCGGAAGCAAATCTCTTCTTTGAGGGACATCCCTGTGGGTACTCAACAGCACTATAGACCAGATTCTTTGCAGCAGAGGTGGGCAATAATTTTTGAAGGGGGGCCACTTCACAAATTTCAGAAATGTCCGCAGGCTAACCCAGAAGGGGCAGGGCCTTGGGAGGAAGGGGTAGTCCACGTGCTGTGTAAAAACGCGAATATGTTTTTTACACAAAGAAGTGATTACATTTTTTATAAAAATTAACTGCATACATTATCCAAAGATTATCATAGACAGCAATACTTGTAACCTTTGTAATAATAACAATACTAACACTAAACTTTTAAAAGCTTCAGAGGGATCCGAGTTAGCTATCCCTCTGAAACTTTTGAGCATGCAAGGCACTGCTTTCAGCAGTATGGAGTGGAAATCCATCAACTACACAAAGAAACTTGCACAGATCCAAACAGACATCATCTTCCTTTCCAAGTGCAAACAGATGAACATCATACCTAAGGGTCTAAGGGTGAAAAACCCACTACAATCTACATATCCCCTGGACTACAGCTAGGGATTATGCCACACACTTGCAAAAAACCTCACCAATCACCTGATCAGCACTCTATACAACAAACAGAAAAAAAATCAAGGAGAAATTAGAAACTATCATCAAAACTCAAGCATCCACACACACTTCATCTTTTTCAGACTTTACTGCAATTCAACAAACCACCTATAAAGAACACTTCATCTCCCTTCAGAAACTGTACAGACTAAACTTTTAGTTCCATCAGTGGTGGGCAGTGTCTGACCCACAGAGCGGCAACCCATTGCCTAGCAGCCAGGGAACACAAGAGCCCTTTAAATAGACACAACTGAAAAGGCTTGCAGCTCCCCACACTTCTAATGCATTGATGGAGAGGCAGGATCCTTTTGAGCTGTTTCTATTGAAAGGGCTCTCCTATTCCACTGGGCTGCTAGGCAATGTGCCTGGAGAAGGCACAAGCCCTTTAAACAGAAACAGCTGAAAGGGATGGAAGTCCAACAACACAGTAGAGGCTGTTTTTATTAAAGGGATAGTTCCTTTCCCCAGGACTGCTAGGCCTTCCCTGCAGCTTCTAGCCAAGGTCCAGGGAAGATGCCCTTAGCCCTTTAAATAGAAGCAGTTTGAAAGGCTCACAATGAGCTAGGGGGCGCAGCCTGAAACTTCCTCGTGGGACGGATCAAAGCCCTAGGCATGCTAGATCCAGCCCACTGAGAGGCTTTTGCCCACCCCTGCTTTACAGCATTGCCTGGGGGACACGTGCACAGAGAGCAGGGCACTCAGGTGCAGGCATGGTCACCGTCCTCTTAGTTCCTTCTTACCATCCCCAGTTTACGATGGAGCTCAGCTTTGCTCTTCATTCGTTGTTATTCCTTTAGATAAGTAGTTGAATTTTGGTTATTTCTTCTTTGTTTATTTTATGCCTCACCCAAGTTCATCTTCCTAAATTAAAAAAAAAAATCCCTTTTTTCTCTAAGCTGTTTTTCTCTCGTTACTGTTGTTGCTGTTCCTTGCCAACAATCCCAGGATCACCAACCTTCAAATGCTATTCAGCCTGTAACAATGCATGCCCATCTCCAACCAACATTCCAAGTATGTAAAATGCCTGAGCGAGTCTTACAGCCAACAAGACAGCTAACCCTGTGCAAAACTTAAGGCATGAATGTGCAGAAACAGGGACCTTCACCTTAAAATGTTGAAATTGGAAAAGGCATAACATCCTTCTGACCCAGGCACAAAAAGCCATGTCAAAGCCTGGTGGCCAGGTGCCATCTTCTCCCCTGGTACTCAACATATGGGGGTACATCTAGATTGCAAGTTTCTTTTGAAAGAGAGCATCCACACCTCAAAACCGGATCAAAAAAGCAATCTGCTTTTTTGAAAGAGAGTGTCCAGATTGCATGGAAGCTCTCTTGAAATAAAGCCTTGATTGCTATTCACAGAATGGCCATCAGGGCACCTGTGCTTTTTTCGATTGCCTCTTCTTTCAAAAAATGTCCCTGTTCTGTGTCCACACATGCCTTTTTTCGAAAGAGCTCTTTCAAAAAAAAGCATTCTTCCTCATAATTTGAGGTTTACCCCCTGCATTCTTTCAATTTAATTTCGAAAGAATGTGATTGCAGTGTGGACGCAAGTGAAGTTTTTTCGAAAAAACAATGTAGTCTAGACTGACCCTTGCTGCAGGAGTTGCTGCTGCACCTTGCTCTGCTCCTTAATAAAGTCTTGCAGGCTTTGCTGCTGTTCTGCCTTGTCAGGTTAGCAAGGCCTGGCACTCTGCCTGGTGGGACTGCTGGAAACTTTGTAGGGCCTGCTGCACCTGTTGTTGCTGCTTGACGAGCTACTGCAGGATCTCCTACATCTCTGGACCACCGATGACATTTGCTGGCTCTGACTCTCATTTCTGATGCCATGTGTGGCAATGTCCTTGCTCAGGCTTCTCGGTCTGGGACCCCTTCTTCAGCCACAAATGAACTGGAGACCTTCTTTTGTGCAATCACCCATGTCTTTTATTGTCCATACCAATTTCCCACCACCATTTATTTACAGAGCTTTTTGTTTGCAGGAAACTCAGCTAGCCTCTCCTTCTGGCTGGAGAGCACACTCAGCCACTCTCTGGCTCCACCCCTTCCACTGTCCCCCTGACAGCCTTATCTAGTCATCTGGCTAGTGAGGCCCACAGCTGTTTCTCATTAGCCCCTAAGGCATAGGCTTGCTCAGCTAGCCTCAGTTGCCCTTTTCAGCCAGTCAGAGCTCTGGCTGAGCCAGCAACCTGTCACATAACATTCCACACAAAAATTGACAATGCTACAATCTTTGCACATCCAATGATTAAATGGTTCCTGAATGGATTACAAGCACTATACCCTAACGTAACCATTCCCCATCAACCATGGGACTTTCACTTGGTGCTGAACACCCTTACAGAATCACCATTTGAACCGATAGCCACAGGGTCACTTCTCCACCTAGCTCTAAAAACTGCATTCCTGGTGGCTATAACATCGGACTGCCAAAGAGGGGAGGTGGCTGCTGTAATCACAGACTCCCCAAATATGATCATCGTCAAAGATACGTTGTCTCTGCACCCCACCCCAATTTCCTCCCCAAGGTCCATTCATCCTTTCATATCAACTAGACTATTATTCATCAACCTGTATTTTTTCCTAAACTTCAGGCCAATACCTTTAAAGCACAAATGCATATCCTCAATGTACACAGGGCTCTTTCCTTTTACCTCCATAGAACAAGGCTTTTCAGAGCTTTGCTGAAACTTTTTATCTCTATTGCAGATTGCAATAAGGGAGAGTAGATATCATTTCAAAGGTTATCTCACTGGATCTCAGACTGCATCAAAATGTGTTACCACTATAGCCTGTTGCCACCACCTACCTCAGTTCATACCCATTCTACCAAGGCAGTTGCCACATCAGTCACCTACCTCCACAAAGTCCCTATAAAGGATATATGTGCTGCTGCCACATGGACTTCAGACCAAACTTTTGCCAAGCACTATGAACTTTCATAGGAACCTCTCTCTTCCACCAGGCTGGCCAAGGACATGCTGTCCTCTACTTACCTGAAGTTCCTACCTTATTAGGACATATTGCTTTGCAGTCACCTGCTGTGGAACACCCACAGGGACGTCTCTTGAAGAAGAGGAGGTTACTCACCTTCCCTTCTTCACCACTACTCCAGAGACTTTTTATCAGGCTGGGTTTTCAGGTAGAGAAGGAACTGAGGGGAGGGTTGCTGAGCCTGTGCGGTCATGCTGCACAGTGCACGCGCACCCTGCTCACCCTGGCCCCACAGGCACTGCCGTGAAGAATCTGGGCTGTGGCACTGGGACTCACCAATACCTGCTGTGGAGCAACCACAGAGACACTGATCTCAAAGAACGTTAGTTACTACTAAAGGTGAGTGACTTCCTCTTTTCTGCCTGAGATTTATCTTTCTTAAACTGCCATCACTAATACTGTTCCTTTGATGAACAGGCACAAACTGGGAATTGAAGCACATTAACTTTGGAAGTTCTTCAGACTACAATTAACTAATATTTAATGTTCTCTGATGTGTTCCTGTGATTCATATGCTTTTCTAAAAATAATCGTGGCACTCTTCCACATACACGGGTCAGTGGGTCAGTCTTTGCACCTGTGAAGCAACTCAAGCTTTTTTGTCACGTACAGTGATTGGCTCTTCAGTTACATAGGATCAGTCACAGACTATTTTGGTTAACACTATCAAACATGCAGTGTCTGAATCTGCAAACAGCAACGTGGGGTGAAGACCAGCTAATCTAAGGAATATACAAGGTGTACAAGAACAAAAGCGCTTTTTGGATAGACACTGTTCCCAAAAGAATAAAGCATGGAAATCGTAAGTATTGTCAATCTAGATGGGTGCTTACTGTATTCACTGTATTTCAGAATTTAATTTTAATTGACTGAGAATAAAGGGAAAGTCTGCAATAATAAAGTATCTGCTGAATGGGTAACAATTATTGCCCGTTATAAATAGCTAAGTGTATTTCAGACTATTTTCATTGTAGGTTAGGAAGAAATCTTTTCATCACTTACAAACTGTAGAGTTGATTTTTTTTCTGTACCATTTCAGTCATAAATGAAGGACAAGAAAATGTTTGTTAGTCACCATCTGGGATCTGCTGTCTCTTGAGAAAAACAAATCTAAACAGAGAGCTGCCTGACTTCAAACCAATACAGTGAGTGCAGGCTAGTTAATGAGTTAGAATATCCATAAGTCTGAATATTGACGCAACAGATGCATGACCTTATGTAACAGCACAGGTGCAGTCCTTTTATGCAACCATACAATAAATGTGTAGTCAGTTTAAACAGACTCTTTTCAAGGCTAGTTCAGCTATATGTGTGGTGTACCTCTGCCTACTATATATTTGAGAGTTTGGTTTGTCTGTGAATGAGCGAGTCTGTCTGTCCGTCCGTTCAAGAACTCCTCCTAAATGGTAAGATCTAGGACCACCAAATTTGCTATACAGACTCCTCTTATCATAACTTAAAGCAAAGTAAGGGCTTGCTGTGTATGTGTGTGGGGGTGAGGGGGCTAAAGCTTCCCACCATGTATATAGGAACACATAAAACCATATAGAAAAGAGACAATCACCAGGCAGAAGCCACCCACCCCCATCCAGGACCACCCCAGCCCCAAGCTTCCCACCCTCCTCAAGCAGAGGGGCTGCAGCCTTCTCTCCATTTGTACGCAAACATTGCTGGCCTCCTTTGTCAGGGAACAAGGGGAAAGTGCACAATTTGCTCCAATTCTCATTCTGGCTGGGGAGCACACCAGGCAGACAAACCTGGACCTGATTCAGCCAAGGGGCATGCATGCATGCTGCAGCAACCAGGGAGAGGTGCTTCTGACATGGTCCCAAGCTGCTGCAGTGAGAGAGAGCTGGGGGAATCCTCTCTATCAGGGGAAGCCTGCATACTGAACCTCTCATCCCCACCTCCACCCCACAATGATTCAAATGAAGAAATAATGAGCTAATGACCTGGGCAGTGCCAGGTAAATCTTCTAGTAGAGTGTATACAAACTGATGGCTTTTTGTACTTTTAAGGAAAATTACAAAATTCCTCACTCAGTATTTGGTACGCTGTTATAAAATCAATTTCCAGTTTAAAGGGAAAGTGTTCTCTTGGGCTTGTTTGGAATCTGATGCAACAGTGTTTGCAAATCTGTAGTATTCTATTATGGGAATAAAGTCTTTGGCTACGTCTACACTGGTGCATACTCATGCAAAAACTCTTTTGCGGAAGAGTTCTTCTGCAACAACTCTTCCAGAAGAGAGCGTCTACACTGGCATGTGCTTTTGCACAAGAGCATCCATGCCAGTGTAGACGCTCTCTTGCACAAGAAAGCTATGATGGCCATTTTAACCATAGGGCTTTCTTGCACAAGAAATTCATGTTGCCCGTCTACACTGGAGCTCTTGCACAAGAACAGTTGCGCAAAAGGACTTATTCCTGAGCGGGAGTGTCAGAGTTCTGGCGCAAGAAGCCCTGATTTCATACATTAAAACATCAGTTTACTTGCACAAGAACACGCGGCCAGTGCAGACAAGCAGCAAGTTTTTGCACAAGAGTGGCCACTTTTGCACAAGATCATGCCAGTGTAGACACAGCCTTTGAGTAACATACTGATGGAGTAAGAAGACCTGATATGCATATAAAAACATCAACGTATGTACCTGACTTCTGTTTTTGTATTTTTCTGATTTGTTTAACATGAGCCATTGTAAATATCAATGCATGAATTAAAACCTTCAATGATTAAATTATGTAATCCACTGAGGGGATATGTTATGCACTGAAACATGAAGTCTTTAATTTTTCTATAACTCTCAAAAGTAAGTGTAAAGTTGATTAGATTAAAGGCCTTCTTCTGATCTCTCTCAGGTTTTATGTTATTTGACATTGTATTATTATATTCTATTTATTATATCAACAGAATTACACTGGCATAAGATCAGTGAATTCAGAATGTCCTTTGATGTGACACTTATCTAAAATCTCTGAGAATCATAATCTGGTCCTAAGGAGAACCTGTTGCCTTGTCTGATCAATGGCCAGGTTTTGTTCACTAAAAATTAGTGTGGTTATTCTGTTGGGCAAATGCTTAAACATTTAAGCTGCTATGAAAAATGAACCTACCAATAGCTTTTAAAATCTAAATGTTGATGTTTAATAAGATGAGAAGAGTAATTCTGCAGAGTATTAGAAAAAGAAAACCCATTTTTAAGATCTAGCTCAGTTTGTGCAGGCTAGATTGGGATATCCTTACTCATGTTGAATAATACCTTATCCCACGAAGTCAATGGAGCTTGTGAAATAAGTTATTACACGGTCTGAGTAATGATATTTCAAATCTGGAAGTCAAGGACACTGTAATGAGATATAGCAGGCCTCCCTTTGGGCCTGCCTCTGTTCCGCTTTAAAAAAAAACCCTACAGGCTCAGCAGTTTATTGGTGCAGTTTATTTACACAGTGCAAAACCCCACATACTACTAGGGGTAGTCCAGACTTACAGATTCTCTTGCAGCCACCAGAACAATAGAGGAGCTTCAAGTCTGAGGCTTCTTTCTCCACTCCCATTTCCTTCTTCTCAGTGAATATATAGCCACAGGCCAATCAGGCTGGCAGCTGTTCCACCTCTGCCAATCAGGCTCAGGTTCCTCTGATCAACTCCAATCACCTCCCTTAATTGGACAGAGGGCTGCTCAGCAGTCCCTGATTAGCACAGTTTCACAGGTATCATTCCACTTTCCTTGTAATTCTCTCCATGGTACTGTACTATTATTCCTATTTTACAGATGAGAAACTGAGGCACAAAAGGGCTAAGTGATAAGGCTATGGTCACACGGGAACACTGGGGCTGTGTCTAGACTGGCCAGTTTTTCCGGAAAATCAGCTGCTTTTCCAGAAAAACTTGCCAGCTATCTACCCTGGCCACTTGAATTTCCGCAAAAGCACTGACTTCCTACTGTAAGAAATCAGTTGCTTCTTGTGGAAATACTATTCTGCTCCCGTTCAGTCAAAAGTCCCTTTTGCGCAAAAGTGCCAGTGCAGACAGCTCAGATTTATTTTCCACAAAAAAACCCCGATCGCGAAAATGGCGATCGGGGCTTTTTTGCGGAAAAGCGCATCTAGATTGGCACGGACGCTTTTCCGCAAAAAGTGCTTTTGCAGAAAAGCGTCCATGCCAATCTAGATGCTCTGTTCCGAAAATGCTTTTAACGGAAAACTTTTCCGTTAAAAGCATTTCCGGAAAATCATGCCAGTCTAGACGCAGCCTGGAAGAGCAGAGAACTGAATCCAGTTCTTCCAAGGCTCAGCCTTTTGCTCTAAGCACTGAATCGTCCACCCCTTCCCTCTACACACACCCCTTTTAGGCAAAAAATGAGGGCTTTCTTTTAAGTTTGGACTGCAAGAAAGAAATGATGTGATTTTTATAAAGGGCAATCTTAATAAAGTAATTAATGTTCATACTGAATCTCAACAGGTATCATCAAGGAATAAAGAACTTCTAAGTATGGGATTCTTATTTTGCCAGCTCAACTAGTGGTAGAACTTTGTCATGTAACAGTGTTTCTTAAATATTTTTAAAAGTAAGTACTTCCATGTTACTTGTATTTCAGCTAGAGGAAGCAAACATGTAATACATGCAGAAAACCAAGGGCCTAATTCTGCGAACAGCTAGAACCTTGCAACCCCATTGAACAGTGTTAATTACTGAGAACTAGAGAGTCAAAATTACTTAGGAAGCTCTTGAAAGAGAATATTGCTTATAAAAAGTGATTTCCTCAACATCATTGTGATTAAAACATTATCCACATTTGATAGAGAGTAGAGCTGAGGTAGAGACATACAGAGACCTGCTGAGGGCCACAGAGGGGATTAGTGTGAATGTTGGGGCAGTGTTCTCATGGTTAAATCACTGGACCATGCATCTCTTCCCAGCCATCACTCAGTTACATGAGTGTAACTGGGGCCTGATTGATATTTAAAATGTAGATTGGCCTACCTATGCTGCGTAGTTCTGCGTGACTAAGGTAGGTGTAGTGAAGTCTGAGGTCAGCAATAGGGATGTAATAGTGCAGCTAACTAATTAACTGATAAGTAAAAGCTTATAGGTTAATGCTATTGACTAGGGATGTAATTGTGTAGCCAAGTAATTCACCCCACGTTTCTCAAACTGTGGGTCCTGATCCCCCGGGGGGTCGTGAACAACTTAGAGGGGGATTGCAGCAACTTAGAGGGGGGTTGCGATATCACAAAATTTGAGAACCCCTGGATTAACTGATAAGCAAAAGCTTATAGGTTAATGCTATAAACGACATGCATTTTCCTTCCTGTCTCCAACCACTAAATTTTTTAGCATGCTGGCTGAGTTCCAGCTCACGCCGGGTGTGGGACCTATCCCTACCATGACTCTACATTTAAAGGGTACTAGGCAGTCCAGCTCAGTTCCAGATTGCGCTGGGTCTAGGAGCTCAGACCCTGTGTTCCCCCCCGCACACCCACAAACAGGGGCTGCTGCCACCACACACTGCTGCCTCTTTATCAGAGGTAGCAGCACAGGGCAACAAGCAGCTGGTCAACAAAAGGAGCTGGTTTTTAAACTGGTTCCCCTCATGGACTAGCTCCCACTTGGCACCCTGCACTGCTGCTGGTCTGACCCCCAGGGACTATAGAATACTCGACTAACCAATAAGTATTCATGAGGTTACTCGACTATTCAATTAACCAATATTTAACATCTCTTAACATCTCTAGTCAGCAACCTGCAGCTCTTGGGGACTTTCCCAGTCGATCATGATCTATCTGCATGCTTTGGCCCCGTGC